TAGCCCCAGTCCCTTGAGCTGGACTTCCCACCCAGAGAGAAAAACAACCCTGGGGTGTTACAGCACGGTTCCAAGCGAGCGAGGTGGGGCCCCGCTTTGCAAAGCTCTAGGAACAGCAGCTCTTTGTCTCCTCTATGTCTCCTCACCCTGAACGTGTTGCAGTTTACAGAGGTTGGTTTCAAAGTGCTGATTCACAGCCACCAGCCCTATTGTTTTATCTGAGGAGATTAGGGCTGAGAATGTTGCGGTTTTGTAGTGAAAAGACTCCATTGGAAATAGCAGCATAGCTGACATGAGACTGTTATTTATGCTCAAATAACCATCTCGTTTAAAGATGAGGAGTCTCTTTTTTTTTCCTTTTCAAGTTTAGATCAATCATGTATGAAGACAAACTCCCACTCAGCCTCCCTTGGCCCCTAATATTTTCATTTTGTTCTTCTTCTGCTCATTATTTTATGATTTTGTCCTTGACTGGAACATTTCTCTCTTGTTCTTCCTTACATGCACCATTAAAGAGGGAAAGGACTTACATATAGAGCTCAAGACTTGTGTAGCTCTTCAGCCATAAATAATATTTTATACAGATTCTAAGATGATTAAATCCTTCTAGTTAGCCTCCCTCTTTCTTTTACAGCTCATCTGATTAGAGGAGACATATTCTTTTGAAACTTAACCATTTCTGTTTCACTTTTGCAAGCAGACATGAGAAGACAGGACCTGGCTGTATGCACTGCTGATCAGAACACTTGCCATAGGAATGCAGAAAAGCTTGCCTGCAAGAGAACTGATTGTTGGCATGGAAGAAAAGCCCTAAAATTCTGAGATGCAGTCGAGTTCCTGAATACAGGCAAGTCTACAATCAAAACTGAAATCTGTTTATCTGGGGAGATAAATGCTCTCAAAATACACTTTTCTGGAGAGGGCTGACAGGCACAAAACCAATGAAAGGAATGCTCTGGTATGAGGACAGAGTTCTGCTCAGGCAGTAACTGATGTTGGACAGCTGTAGGAACTGACCCACTGGGTGCTTTGCACCCCGTAACTCCATACCCAGCTTCTTTTGATACCAGGCTCGGGCTTCCCGGAGCCAGGCATCAGCTTTTCCCTACAAATGCAGCCAAAGCAGCTGCTGCACTTTGCAGAGATCCTGAGACTGTAGTGCTGAGCTGCTCTTCCTTCTGCTTGCTGGGATCTGCTCAGCTCAGGCAGTTCCTCGGGGGAACGGCCAGTGAGTCAGGCCTTGTTGGGGTTACAAAGTGTGGAGAGCACAGAGAGGAGAAATAGCACCACCAAAGTGACTGGGAAGTGCTGAAAAGCCTCACAGTAGAGAGCCTACACAATGAAATGATCTCCTCCAATTAGCCCATGGTCATCAGTGAGGCAAATCCTCTGCCTCCTGGGCCGGGCAGGGTGGTTTTAATGGTAGGCATAAATCTGTTGGGGTTTTGTCCTCATGACCCAGCATATTCTGCCAGGGCAATGCAGACTCCAGAGAAGGAACAGAATTTATGTGTACAGTAAAACAACAGAGTTTCAGTGATATCAGCTGTTTGACGAACTTTAATATACATTTGCTATAAAACAGGCAGCAATTACCAGAATGTGATACCCAAATAAAAATCCATGATCCATTTGCACGACAGATCTTCAATTTACTCACATTCATGTGAAAGAGACACATAAAAATGATATCCATGCTTAAAATCACTTAGGAGCAGCCTGAAAGACCCCACAGTTGCAAGTGATACTGCAGTGCTTAGTTAATACTCATGTTTCGATGGCTTTGCCTTCATGATTCTTCCAGTGGTTCCTTTATGTTTTCTGGGATTTTGCCAAACACCTGTGAATCAGTGCACAACAAATATTCCTCCCATTTAATTTAGCCTTGCACAGAAAGGCTATATTAGGCCTGATGCAGACCTAATCCCAAGCCTCTAAAGAGGTTTAAGGCACTCTGGTTTCACCTAATCCCGAAACCTAAACCAGAATCATTGAAAACCTCCACAGCACCACAGGAATGGGCAAATAAAGAGTTTCCACTATGAAATTATTAAAAGGACACAGTGTATCTTTTGGATTTGAGACCTAAAGCTTTGCCTAAGGAGCTTGGACTGTCCACAATAAAAGTGTTTATTTTGAAGGTAGGAGGTTGAAAGGTTTATTTGACTAGAGGGCCGATTTCACCCCTCCCACCCAAAAAAAGAAAAGGGGTGACCCCCCAGAAGAGTGGCAAATGGGAAAGGGGAGGAAGAAGTGACAAGGCAGGGGCAGCCCAGCAAAGCAGCTGAAGAAAGCGAAGCCCAGGTTTCTGTTTAAGCCTCAGTCATGGTCCCTGTGAGAAAGAGCAAGAGCACAGCCCCTGGTGCACAGCTGGGCTCTTGGATCCTGAAGTTCCTCACAGCAAACATGTAAGGAAAGAGTTATTTATGATGTAAGAAATACATTGCTGCTGTTCAAAATGGAGAATTTGCTCTTTTGAGATCTCTTACTGATGGGAGATAACATGTAAAAACGTGCTGCAATGGAACTTTCAATTACAAATTGCATCCAACTGTAATAAATTCGATCTTGCATTAATTCATGTTAAATTAATTGGATTCTGTCATTTCTGAATTCTGGTAACCACCTTATCTTGCCACACAACTCATTATCTTTGTGTTGGGAAAGGGGTATTTCATTTTCCAGGCGACTGTAGGGAATATTAACTGTACCATACTCTAATAAACATCCAGCTCCTAACAAATTAAAGACCTGAAGCACACTGCACATGTGGTTTCATTATGCACAGCAATTTATAGCAATGATCTCCTGCTCTCAATCTCTTAATTCAAATCATTTCAGCAAAACGTGTAGGGAAACATGGGGCTGTATTTGTGCATCCTGAAGGTATTTATCCATCCTTAGGACATTCCTAATAATGAGAGGCATAACCTCCTCAGTGTGCTGAATGCCATGTAAAGCCCTTTAGAGCAGGGATTTAGGAATCCGTGTTCCTGCTGATGGGAAGTTTGATATGAGTAGAAAAGCAAGCTCCAGACTGACTTCCCAGACTCACAGAAAGTCTCCATGCCTTTGTCTGCACTGTGGTACTCTAGGTTTAATTCAGCTTTCAATGACTCTTTGCCTCCATAGGCAAAAATTATAGGAAAACTGAAAGGTACCAAGCCTTCTAGCTGGAATTGCAGCAGGACAGCCTTCTGAGAAAATACTGAAATGACAAGAGCTTTTAACTCCTAGACAGGTGACACAAGCAAAGGATGGTTTATTTGCTTTCCTTGAGCAAGTCCTGGTGTAGCTGGGGAGCAACAGGGGCCTCTTAAGGGGGAAGAGTGTGTGTTGTGTACGTGCCTACACTGCCTTCCCATCGCCTGGCTCAGGGGCATGGTGGGACATCAGCAGGGTCAGTCCCAATCCCACATCTCCACATTCTTGTCCCAGCAATACGTACAGGGTTATTTAACTGGTGCCTGATTTAGTTCAATTATTTCACCTACCCAGTAACTTCCATTGGGAATCATTTCAGGAGGCAACTTCTTTATTCGCCTAAAGACGCTCTCCTGCAGGACAGCACCTGGAACACTTTGTGTGGCTGTGTGTTGCACTTGGGAATACTTGGGTCTTTATGGCAGAATAAACCCAGGCTGGCAGCGGAAGAGGCCAATGAATTCAGCAGTGCGGCAACCCCGCGCTCAGCAGAGCTCCCGGCAATGGATGCGGTGCAGGGTGAGAGCCCCAAGCACAGCCCCGGGTGGGAGAGAGCCCAAAGCACCCCCAGCAGCTGCGGGGAGTCCCCGCCTCACACGGGACCGAACCGCTCGATGGCACCGGCCCAGCCGGCTCACAGCGGGGTCCTGCCCGGCCCCGCGGAGCGGGGACGCGCTCGGTGAAGGCGAGGCCCTCCCGACTACCGAGCGAGGCCCCTGAGCAGCCCCGGGACCCCCCGGCCGGGATCTCCTGAGCGACCCCGAGCCCCTCGCGGGACCCCCTCAGCGGGAACCCCGATCCAGCCGAGCCCACACGGCGCATGCGCGCCTCCCGCCGGCCCCGTGACGTCACGCGCGCGGCTCGACGTCCGCCTGGTTCCCGCGGGGATCGCCGAATCATCGCTGCGCCGCTCTCGCCCCGCCGGCGCTCGGTGAGCGGGTGGGGGGGAGGTGGGGTGCGGAGGGACGGACCAGGCTGCGCCATCGCCGCCGCGGGGAACCCCCCGCTCGGCCGCGGGGCCGGGACGGCTGCGCTGTCACTGCCGCGGCGCCGCCTCACAGGCCGGAGGGGCCGGTGGCGCTGTGCGCACGCGCGGGGCGTCGCCACGGCAACGGGGGCAGCGTCACACCCCACACCTCCCGCGCGGCCCCTCAGAGCTCCTCATGGCCCCGCAGAGCCCTCAGAGCTCCTCATGGCCCCTCAGAACCCCTCATGGCCCTTCAGAGCCCTCAGAGCTCCTCATGGCCCCGCAGAGCCCTCATGGCCCTTCAGAGCCCTCATGGCCCTTCAGAGCCCTCATGGCCCTTCAGAGCCCTCATGGCCCCTCAGAGCCCTCAGAGCTCCTCATGGCCCCGCAGAGCCCTCAGAGCTCCTCATGGCCCCTCAGAGCCCTCAGAGCCCTCATGGCCCCGCAGAGCCCTCATGGCCCTTCAGAGCCCTCAGAGCTCCTCATGGCCCCTCAGAACCCTCATGGCCCCTCAGAGCCCTCATGGCCTCTCAGAGCCCTCATGGCCCTTCAGAGCCCTCAGAGCCCCTCATGGCCCCGCAGAGCCCTCAGAGCCCCTCATGGCCCC